GGTTATAATAAACTAAATGTGGCTTTTGAAGGATATTGTAATCCCATCATTTTACTGAAAATGCTCAAAGGCAGTATTTTAAAAACAGCAGCATGTGCCCAACATTCTAATACACAGATACAAAAATAAAACACACATTAAAGGAAATTGAAAAGAAATGATCAGGGCCAGTAAATGACACCAAGATGTTGGTAACACTTTTTCAATAACCTGGTAAAGTCTCCTAGCCTTCCTGACAAAATGTGCAGTTTGAGCTAACACGTTAAACATCTACACCCAAATTCTGATTATCATGCATATGCTTTACTACACTTGCCCAAGACTCTCTATTCCCATGTCAACGCTCTTCAGAATCAAGGGCTTCTCCCCTCTTCATTACCCTAGTCACCACTCCTTTCCCAATCTCATTAAACAGATAACCAAGGATGAGCTGGGCAATATGCTAAAATACAACCTAGCCAAAGGAAGTTAAAAATGTTCTTCCAAGTTTAGTCCTTTTCAAAAAAAAGAAGCTAACTAAAATTACTGTACCTATTTTGTTTAGTTATGTTAAGATTGAAGAATTGGCTTTATTTTTGTGAGCAAAAGCAATCATATAAACCACATATGGAACAATTCAACTCACAACTTTTTTTTTTTTTTTTGGCGGTACGCGGGCCTCTCACTGTTGTGGCCTTTCCCGTTGCGGAGCACAGGCTCCAGACGCACAGGCTCAGCGGCCATGGCTCACGGTCCCAGCCGCTCCGCAGCATGTGGGATCTTCCCAGACTGGGGCACGAACCCACATCCCCTGCATCGGCAGGCGGACTCTCAACCACTGCACCACCAGGGAAGCCCTCAACTCACTTTTAACCAGTAAAATGAACTGTGAAAATTTGAAATTTATGCAATATTAGTATCAATTTTCATAACAGGCACAGTTGCATATGGCTACGTATTTCACGCCCATTTTGTCCAGATGGTTTTGGACCTCTCTTCATTGGTATACCAAAACCCAAGGAAGAAGGATACAGGAACAGGAGAAAAAAAAAAAATTGCGGGTGGGCAAGTTATGATATCCACCGGATATATATACAGCAAAACCTGGCTTACCTCAAAAATACAATTCTGCTGCACCACCTGATAACCACACTGTTTGCAAACTCTTGTCAGTTCACAAGAACGACACACACAGTCAAAACAGGAGGTCCACAGGCAAGCTAAGCCCAGCTGCAAGATCGACAAGCGGACAGCTCCACCCCAAGAGATTACTTTTCAATGTAAAATTATCCTGGCTTTCCTCTGACAGCTATCCAACAGCACTTTGGTTTTTGTCATGTTTGGCAAACTTTCCAAGCTGACTTCAATATATTAGATGTGGATCACTTTGCCAGAGGAATATCTCAGAGCAACAATGGTTATTGAATTTTGAAAAATGCAACAATCTGGAAAAGTGAAAATTCAGCATTATGTATTAGAACTAGGTTGGAACACTAAGGAAATCATTTACTGGATACATACCTTTTGTCAACTGTTACTCTAATTGACACTGTTCAAAAGCCAAACTATGAACGTCATATGAATTAATCTTCTCTTCCCTTGAACAAAACCCTAATTCAACAAAAGGGTCCATGAGTATTAGCACCCCCTGCCCCACTTTTTTGTCTAAGATAAACGACTACATATAATTCCCCCTCCTCTATTCACATTTGGGCAATTCTAAAATCAAGTTATTCTCGCCCCTAAAAGAGATACTTATACAAAGTATGTTGTGAATTACAGTTTCTAGTTTATCTGCACTTAAGCCCACTCATTTGGACCTCTTAAGAAGGCTTATATAATAAAAGCCTAAAACATTTTTGCATCTTTCCAATACCTACTAAAAATGCAAATTCAATGTTTATAACGTATTAAGTGGAAGCCCAAATGCTGATTTTCAATGAATAGGTAAGAGATAATTTGGGTATACCTGCTAGAAAGGTGTCTAGATAATTCATTAAATTCTTTTTCTACTTTTTCTGTTTGTCGAGTGCAATCTTTACTCATAGGTACTACCAAAGATCAATCTAGAAACGGTAAAATTATGGTTCCCATTATTTGTGGTCTCTAATGAGATTTTACAATATTAATATTCAAGAGCATACATTTTTAAGGATGCAAATTTCTACTCCTCCATACCCAGAAATTAAATTTTATTTTATTTTATTTACTTATGGTTTTTTTGCGGTACACGGGCCTCTCACTGCTGTGGCCTCTCCCGTTGCGGAGCACAGGCTCCAGATGCGCAGGCTCAGGGGCCATGGCTCACGGGCCCAGCCGCTCCGCGGCATGTGGGATCTTCCCGGACCGGGACACGAACCCGTGTCCCCTGCATCGGCAGGTGGACTCTCAACCACTGCGCCACCAGGGAAGCCCAGAAATTAAATTTTAATCCAACAAAAGCAAACAGACTTTTATCACTTATAGAGAACACAGAAATAGGTCCTGAATGTATGTATACTCCATATACCTTACTAAGAACTTAAAAGAAAATGGAATTACTTATTTCATGGCAGGCTGCAAGGAATAATTATGTAATGAACGACAATAAGAAAAAGCCACTTATCATATAGTCTAGTCTTTATTGAAAGACTTACTTCAACTGTTGTTTACAGCTTTGGCTTACGTTGGCCAGTCATTTTAGCCTCTCACTGCCAGCAGACATAAAAATCAAGTGGTAATGGCACGGGGGGAAATACTAGTAGAGAGATGAGAGCAAAGAAGATGGCAGTCAGAAACACATCACCAAAATGAATCTCAGAGTGATTATGAAATAAACATTTTCTTGCCTGCCGAAGAATCTCTGCTGCTGTTTTTAATGAACATGGAAAATGCAACGATTCTTAGGCTTAAACTGGATCAAGATAGCACTGACTTCACTTTGTGTTAAAAAATAGTCTTGAATAGCTTGACAGTTGTATTTTAAAACGGTGCATTTCATCTGGGTAAGTAGCTTTATTTTTTAAAAACCATTTAAAATGAAATAACTTCCATTAATTGAACTGAGCATGTAATCTTGTTCTTTCAGATAAGATGAAGGACACTTCAGTCGTATGTTTACTATGCAATATAACTAGTCTGCATCACTTTATTAAATCATAGAATATACAAGCAGCTATATTTAGCTGGTACTGTATTTAGCTACTTAATTTACTGGCAGACCAAAAAAGGTAAATTGAGACTTTAATAGGCTTTTCTCAATATATATATAAAAAAATCTTTAGTTCAAGTTTCATATGTATTTAAGAAATTTTAACTAGGAGGTATAATTAATTTGAGTGTTCTCCTTATAAAATATAAAGTAACTTTTCCATAACATCCCCCAAAGACACTAACCATGAACAAAAGAAATAAGGGTAAATTTTATAACAGAAGAGTGTAATAGATGAGTACTGTGGTTAAAACTAAAGTGCCATAAAAAATTTGGCCCGAAGATGAACAACTTCAGACCCTGTAAATTTTCATGTTCAACACATTTCTAAATGGGGGAAGAAGGAAAATACCAAAATTATTGTGGAGATCAATTTATAAAACCATCATTATTTTAAAGCTAACTGTAAGACGTCAAAAGTTTAAAAAACAGTAATCTGTGGGTGCTAGCTGAATCTTATTACTTAACTGTAAAGAGTTTTCTCATTTTGGTGCCCAGACCTCAGAACATTTCAAATACGCTGCCTAAACATTTGCACCCCCTAGCTGTCAGAACTCAAAAACAAAGGATTTTTATCTCTTTTACATACCTGCTATGATAGAAATTTGAGGCAGATTTTATGCACATGGCCTGAAAAATACCTCAGAAGCAAATGTCAATCTTACCCAATCAATTCATTTACAAACTCTGCACTCATACAACTCACAGCCTCTGTTCAGGTTTGTCATCCCATGCACACCACCCACAAGGAAAAAATTAATTAAAATAAAAGTCACAACTCTGTATACTATTTAAGTTGAATATCCAATTATAAATTGGTACATCAAAGTGTCTAAATAAGATGTTTTAGCAATCTTGTTAAAAAAATTCTCGGGCAAAATATATCTAATTTTAAAAAACACCCCAAGATTTTTTAAAAACACTGTACTATACAACTTATAGAAACCTTGAAATAGGTTTACAAGGTTTTAATCAAGGTATTTACATACCAAATGATGTAAAGCAAAAAAAGGAAAAAAAAAAGAAGAAATCTAATTTCCAATGACATTTTAAAATGTACTAATAATGCATCAAAGATTTGTATGAAATTAAAATTAAGGCTTTTTCTGTATAGTAATTTGTATAATTTTAATTTTACATAGTAGCCAACCTTGGAAATGTCAGTCTTAAACATTCTTATTCATCCACTGCATTCAATGCAGTGGAGTGTGTTAAGTGTTACTTCAAATAATTACATTGCTGCTACTTCTATGTTGAAGCATGCTTTTTAAACACTGTATTCAATATTTACAATGTATATCATTTAAACTTCATGTAAAAGCATAAGAATGACTGTCTGACTTTAATACAAACACCATACTTGGAATTCTCCCCCCAAAATGAAATGTAATTTACTACAGTTTTAATAATCAACACTTTTAAAAGTTTTAAAAATATGTCTTAATCTGGACCACCAATATTTGCTCAAGTAAGTCAGACAATGCTGTTCCTTATTTAGGTTGCAAAATTTCTTTTATCAGTCTGGCTTCAGTTTCTTTAGGCACAGAGAAAGTATTTCCTCCAAAGCGACTCCAAAATCATGCATTTCTTCTCAATATCACACTTTTTTTCTGCTGACTTCAAATGTGGTCCACCTTGGGGGAGGGGAGGGGAGTATCAAGGTTCAAGATGAACTTATTTGTGATTCCCAGTTTTCCATGATCCTCCCTTTTTTGCTCTTTTAAAAACACAGTGAGTTAAAATACTGAACAGCAAGATAAAAATGGAATAGTATCTAAGAATCAAAATGTATTACCCATTTCTCCTATTATATCAAAATTTGTAGTCAGAATTGTCTTAATTGACTTTATTGTAGTTTTTGTACACAAAGAAAAATCATGTTCATATCCATCATGAACAAAAACTTAAAAAGGCAGAACTAGAAGACATGTGTCCTTCACCAAAGCAAAGCTGTGCTAAAGGTTCCAAACATTTCAATTTTTAAAATAAATATTTTCATTTTCCGATGTCTACTTTCATGTCTTCAGAGTGTCACAAGGAAATTGAAGCTATCATGAATTACATTTTGTTTAGAGTCCCAGCTCACTGTGTTTGGTAACTGGCCATGCCATATCCAGCCTGGTTGGGAGGAGGTATTACAGGGGGAGGGGCTTGTCCTTGGGGAGGCTGAGCACCAAATCCACCCATCCAAGCAGCTGAAGGTGATTGACTTGGAAGAAAAAAAAAAAAAACTTCAGCAAATGCAAAGAAAAAATTATCTATACAGTTATACAAAAGTCAAGCAGAGCCTAATCATAAACAAGAAATCAACATACTTAAAACAGAGAGCAAAGAAATAAATCATATATATCCATATATGCAAAATATATATTCCAATATTAGTCTTAAATTTTTGCTAAGATAACATATGACTTCTCTGAAAAGTATCTCAAAACTGATTTTTTAAAAATGACAAATGATTCAACTCATCGTCTACCCACCATATATTGCACACATGGTATATCAATTTATAAACAATTTTAAAAACACAAGTTTACTTTGTAAACAGGAGGAAGAACTGGTGAAAACAAAGGTTTGGGCTGGCTAGAAAAAGCACAAGGGACCAACGCAATCTATCAATAAAGGAAAAAAAGTGAGCTACTTTATATTAGATAAATTTCAGAGACTTCTCACACAAGCCAACAGGCATAAATCATTAAATTGCTGAACATATCCAGACAAAGGTCTTTTCCATGAAAAAATAAACAAGTAGATAAAACAGTGTATTAGAAATGTAAATCAAATTCTACCAACTGCTCATAGAGATAGGAGGACACATCATATGTTACCCCAAACTCCCTTTCCACCTAGAGAATAAAAAGCAAATTTTTAGCATTACAATTCATTTTTCATAAGGTTTCTACAATGCTTATAATGCCACATAGTTAATGCCACATAGTTCAATGTATTTAGTTTAAATAGATTCTCCCTAGGAAAACACACTTTTTAATTCCTTTTGTCGGAACTATATGTGCTTCTATACTGGAAAAACTCAAACAACTTACTCTACTCCAAATCCTTGTTGATTCCACGGTTGCCCATATACTCCATAAGGTGGTACTTGCCACCCATTTGCCATATACTGTCCATACTGTTGTGGGTTTCCATAAACTTGGCTCCACTGGCCCCACTGACTATAGTCGACCTAGGAAAAAGCAAATTACTGTTTTAGGGAACAAGTAAGAAACACAGTATTTGAAGAAAGTGGGAGACAAGGAAGAGAAAAACTAAGCACCCTTATGTGAATAGGACTCTGTTATTTATCATTGTCTAAGTTTATTGGGGTGGTGACACCTGTGAAAAGAAAGTATTAAGATTCAGTTAATACCGCAAAATAATCACTTTTGAAATAGCATTAATAAAATCAACTGAAAGCAGCTATATGCTTTACTTTTTTGTTTGCTTTCTTTTACAATTTCTAAAGCTTTTATGTAGATATGTAAGAAGGAGACCTTAAAAAGTGCTATGAAAAATTGGATTACCTGTTGGAAGTTTTTAGTCATATCAGGAGATTCTTTACCCCAATAGCATTTAACAACATGTCCTTCAATTGTAGTACCATTCACCGAAACAATGGCATGGGCCGCACTTTCATGGGTAGAAAATCTAAGAGAAGATGAGAATGAAGTTTTTTGTTTTTTATTTTTTAAAGTACTTAGTAAGTAATACAGAAACTCCTTAATTTATAAGTATCAACTTGGTATTTTCCTAAAGTACATCATGTAGGAGTTTAAAGTTCTACATTGCAAAGAAGTACTAAAATAACAAACTCTGATACCTGAGGGGATCAAATAATATAACTGAAAGGAATGGATCAAATGTAAGGTAGGATTTTACCTGACAAATGAATAGCCCTTCTCTGGAAAAACTCTGATTTCCATAATTTGCCCAAATGGTGAGAATGTCTGTCTCATAAGCTGATCTGAAAAACAAACATACAAATAAAATATTTAAGGTTCATGTTATCATGAAATTGCTGCTAATAATGATGAAGCTCCAGAGAAGGGGATTAGAAAAACCAGACACTGTACCTGTTAACCCAGAAGCAATTCCTCCGCAGTACACAGTACAATTTTTTGGGCTTGACTGGTTTACTACATCTTCAAATCTCAACTGCTTAGTGTTATCTATATGCAGAAAGAAAACAAAAATGTTGATGGGGCTTCCCTGGTTGCACAGTGGTTAAGAATCTGCCTGCCAATGCAGGGGACACGGGTTCGAGCCCTGGTCCGGGAAGATCCCACATGCCACGGAGCAACTAAGCCCATGAGCCACAACTACTGAGCCTGCGATCTACAGAGCCCAGGAGCCACAACTACTGAGCCCGCGTGCCACAACTACTGAAGCCCACATGCCTAGAGCCCGTGCTCTGCAACAAGAGAAGCCACCACAGTGAGAAGCCCGCGCACCACAACGAAGAGTAGCCCCCGCTCGCCGCAACTAGAGAAAGCCCACGCGCAGCAATGAAGACCCAACGCAGCCAAAAATAAAAAGTTATACATCATTATAAAACTGATTACCATATACTATTAAGATATGCCTCATTGTAGGGAGAAATAGAATTTTTTCTCCTTGACACTATGATCTGACCTATAAAATCACCTGGTTCACAGCTCCAAATATACTTGCATCAAAGCCCAGTTATTTTCCCACAATTATATTGAAGATAAAATGAGTCTTGAAATGTTAATAAAATTTCAATGTTAAGAAATTAAGACTAAACTAATACATGATTTTGTGAAGTATCCATAAAAACATATAAAGGAGACATATCTTACTTTCTTGTGTACTTTTAGGGGCAGGTGGTTTACGTGTGGCCCAATTGGTTCTGATTTGACGACCACCCAACCACTGACCTCCCATATGCACAATTGCATTTTCTGCATCCTACGGAGAAAAAGAAAAAAAACAGCAATTACAAACACAGAAAAGAGTGGTTCATAAGACTCATTAAGATGAAATAAAACATTGGCACTTCTGGATCCAATAAATCTTATCAGTAAGTGACTCATTAAAGCAATATTTATTTATAGATTTTAAAATACCAGGATAGGGACTTCCCTGGTGGTCCAGTACCTAAAACTCCCGCGCTCCCAATGCAGGGGGCCCAGGTTCAATCTCGGGTCAGGGAACTAGATCCCACATGCCGCAACTAAGAGTTCACATGCTACAACTAAAGATCCTGCATGCTGCAAGGAAGATCGAAGATCCCGCGTGCAGCAACTAAGACCCGGTGCAGCCAAATAAATAAATTAAAATATTTTAGAAAAAAAAACAAAAAAAACCCAGGATAGCATTTAAGCATCAAGGGAAATTATAATTCAAACATAAAAGGAGAAAATTACAATCCCACTGATCACCAAAAAAAAGGACAAAATTGTTTTCAAATATCTTAATTTTATGGTTGATGTGTAATATGACTTTTACTGAAGTATCTAAAAACTCTTTGATACTATGGTCTAAATACCACCTAGCCCCCCCATTCTACATTCTAATAACAATGGACTATGACACAAGATTTAAAACTTAAGACGGAAGACTTCTACATTATGATTTAGAATGCTGTAAAATTGAGTTCTACAATAAACTGAGTTAGGTATGGAACTCATGCCCCCTACAGTGGAAGTGAGGAGTTGTAACCACTGGACTGCCAGGGAATTCCCAAAAAATGAATTTAGGAAGTAATGTGAATTTGCAATGAATCTAAGCAAAAAAAGGATACAACTCCTGCCCTTTATCTTACTGCTTCAATAAAATGTAAATAATTTAAGTTGTTGAAACTGTTCCAAAACATTAATACCAAAGCCCATTTTATTATCTGATGTTACAGTTAATGCAAATGCTTAGATATTTGGTACCTCATTCTTAAATACATGCAAAAATCAAGACAAATTGCTTAAAATTTCATTTACATAATTTGCTGTAGTCATTAACGTCCCAGCTACAAAAATATGGATAATAATTAAAAAGTTAAGGGACTTCCCTGGTGGTCCAGTGGTTGAGAATCCGCCTTCCAACGCAGGGGATGTGGGTTCAATCCCTGGTCGGGGAACTAAGATCCCACATGCTGCGGGGCAACTAAGCCCACGCACCACAACTAGAGAGCCCGCGTGCCCCAGGTACAGAGCCCACGTGGTGCACTACAACTGGAGAGAAGCCCATGCGCCACAACTAGAGAGAAGCCCACAGGCCACAACTAGAGAAGCCTGCATGCTGCAACAAAAGATCCTGCATGCCACAACTAAGACCCAACGCAGCCATACATACATACATAAATAAAAGCATTTTAAGAAAGTTAAAATTGAGATTTTCATGGTTAAGACAAATATAATTTTTAAAAACATTTATTTTATTATTTATTTGGTTATGCCAGGTCTTAGTTACGGCAGGTGAGCTCCTTAGTTGCAGCATGCGAATACTGAGTTGCAGCATGCATGTGGAATCTAGTTCCCTGACCAGGGATTGAACCCAAGCCCCCTGTGTTGGGAATGCGGAGTCTTAACCACTGTGCCACCAGGGAAGTCCCAAGACAAATATAATTTAACTTCCCTTCAAATTCTGAGATTAGCTCATTTGTCCTAGTTGTGAGTTTTACTTCTAACACATCTTACCCTTACCAAGTCACAAAGTTCAATATACTTCATTATAATCAGCCTATTTTTCCCAGTTATTTCCAAGCTTATGAAAAAAAAGAACGAACTACACCTTATTATTAAAACAAAATTACACAATAGTTGTTTGTAGTCAACATCCAAAAATATTCATTAACAACTAAATTTTGTATTAAATTCAAATTGAGTTGAAAGAACATACCAGTTTATTATAAAAAGATACAAAGCCATAGCCTTTGGATTTTCCAGTTGCCATGTCTTTAACTACTCGGGCATCCCTGTGAAAAGAAGCACAGCTAAATGAGGGAAGTAAAAGTCATCCTCAAAATAAAAACTAAAAGGAACCACACACACTGTATTGTGAGCATTTTTTTAAATAAAATTCCAGTTAGCCCTAATTAACTACAGCCATTCCTGAACTCTCCCTAACGCTTCTTTACCTGTTAGAAAAAAGCAGTAGGACAAAAACATGTAATAAACATGCAACCTAATCAAACAGCCTGTGCTTTCTAAACTAAATGCTCAAATTTGAAGATTAATAGGAACAATAGTTTCCTTTTCTAATATTCTATTCGCTAGTGTCCTCTAAGGTTTACTGGTTCTATAAATTACTGTAACAATGCTAACTACTTTACCATGCAATCTCTAAATAGTTAAATGTCTTCTGCCTAGTGATACAAAATATATGAAATATTAAAAAATTGAAAAAGAGGAAAAAATAGGAATTAAAAAGGCATACATGGCCTGTTAACAGATTTCTTTATTTTTCTTGGTCAATTCTCTACCATCATTTTGGAGTTTGGGCAGCTGTAAATTTTGAAAAATTGACATTTTCAGAAATTTAAGAAAGGAGAATAAAAAACTAACAACAATGCTAAGCACACCAGTACGAAAACAACAAATTTACACAGAAATTTTAGTGAGTAAGTTAAAATGATTGGAAATATAGAACTCCACTGAATATAGAATGTTAAAATGTAAATACTAAAATATGTATATATAAATAATGTATAATAAGAATAAATAGAAATGAGAAAAAAATCTACAACTGAGTTCCAGTGTGCACAGTTCCTTGCAGTTAGCCTTCAAGATCCTGTCCATTCTTATGAGCAATTCTGCAAAATAACCAGAATGCTATTACTTTTAATTGTGACTTGGACTTTAGAAAAACTGCAGGTCTCAGGTATAAATATAGATTGAAAAACAGCAACCTGTATTATTTTTTATACTGATTTTTAAAACAGTACTACTTACCACATCTAGATTAAAAAGCAAAGTAAATATCAAAATAGAAAATTAAGAATTAAATCTATCAAATAAATTAAATCTATAGAACAACAAATTGCAGAGAGAAATACTGTTGTTCTTAGGTGAAACGTATTTTTGTAAAGTAGTACTAAAACGTTTAACTTCAATCTATAGGAAATACATAAAATAAAGTGATTTTAAGCAGATAGATAAATTGTGATAAACATTTTATAGAACTTGTAACACTTTAAATTTTCCAATATATTTGATCAAGTAACATACAGCAAAATCTGAGCACCAACTTCGTTTAAAAAAAAAAAAAAAAAAAAAAAAAATCAAACCACAATTGGGCCCTACCCTAGCAGAATCAAATACCACTAACAAAAAAAATCTACTAATTAATCCCACATTTATGGCTCAGACATTGAAACATTTTACTACTATAATAATGCTACTTTTCAGCTAAAATATCAAAACACATTTATCATTATAATTAAACATGTACATTTCCAATTTCACAATATATCCAAGGATTTACCTACTTTCCCCATTTATAAATTCCTCCTATAAAAGTTTAATACACAGTATGAATCATTTATTTTTGGTTAACCCATATCTTTAACCACCAAAGTTTGAAAACACTTGACAAAAAGCTGGACTTTGTAATAAGTTTTACCACCCAAACATCTGCTTTAAAGATAACAAACAGAATCACTTAATTTTTAACATGTTATACACAGGATTAGATGAAAACAAGACCCCAAAACACTGAAATGACATTAACATTTTCAACAACATCTACTAATCAAAAAAACAAAACAAACAAAAATCACACTAACTAGGGAAAGAAAATCTTAATTTTGATACAAGTTAATCATGTACAATTTTGCCTATCACTACTGAATATAGTATTGATTATGATACTTACGATATTTTACCAAAGGGGGCAAATGCTGATTTGATATCTTCTGTTGTAATTTCTGGACTCAAATCCCCAACAAACACGTGGAAATGATCTGAAATCAAAGCATTTGGTAATCAAATACTTAAGAAGTCAGGTACTAAACCTCTTTTAGGCAACACTAAAGGAAGAAAAAAACCTATTTGAGCTGGTAATGCTGCCAAGGATAATTTCAGAACTCTTCCACAGTAAAATGCAGCAGGAGTACTTACTGGAAGTATCTTTTTTCTGGCTACTTGGTGTTGTTGCCCAGTTTACTTTGACCTCCTAAAAATAAAGATTATATTTAATAAAATTATTAGGCATGTCATTATGAATCACAACACTTACCACTTATTAAATCATTTTATCAAGCAGGATTATTTTGGTAAAAGCACTAGGCTGAATAAAGCAAAACCATCACTTGGCAGAGCTGAATATTTGTTAAAAACTTGCTAAGAAAGAATACAAACTAATTTGACATGCAAATATATATACTCATAAGATGCCATCATTTATTATCTTACCTTTCCCAAAATTTTTCTCCCATTCATAGCAGCTAATGCAGCAGCTGCATCTCTGTGTTCATAAAATTCCACAAAGCAATATGGGTCATTGCTTGTATGCTGCAAAACAGAAAATCCAACAGAAGAGTTGACCCTTCTGCTATCGGGTTGCTGAGAAGAAAATCCAGGAAAAAACATTACTGATAGCTAGGCATGTACGAGGTGAGATTGCATAAGCTTATGAAAGCCTAACACTTTAAAAATAAGATTTACACCTATACCTGACTTTGCACCTCAGAATACTGTTGTACTCAAACAGAACTACAAAGCAGTACAGAATCATGACTACCAGCATTAAATCAAAGTACAGAATTCTGGTGAAGTATGTTAAATATAAAACAGAAGTTTATATTAGACCAAACAAAACCTCAAGTTCAGATTTGAGAGATAAGGACCACTCCTTACCACTGCTCTTCTCTCCCAACATTATTTTCAAAGGGATGAATTCTATTTATGCATCATAATCCTTCATAAACTGTATCCCATGACTATAAAAAAAATACAGAAATGAACCAACTTTACAAACTTTACTCCTGATCGAAACTAGGATTAGTACTATTGATACATATAATAAGACGAGATTATGTATTTCTTTTCTGTACAAGGAAGGAATAAGAATGAAAAAAGAAAAATTTCAGATTTATAACCAGCTGTTGAAATGAAATCCCTACCTTTCAAAATCTTCTGAAGCTCTGGAGATTCTATACACTTTGAATTTGGTCTTCCAAAGACCAGAAAAATATACTAGTGATTAAGAAAAGATTTCTGAAAATGTGTCTGAATAAAATATTCCACAACAAGCTAAAATTTTATATCACAAAACACCAATATAAGAGAGTGAATACCTAAAGAGTGGATATAAGTATATGTATAACTGATTCACCTTCCTGTACACCTGAAACACAACATTGTAAATCAACAATACTCCAATAAAAATTTTTTTAAAAAGTGAGTACCTAATATGACACCAATGAATATAAAACACCAATATAAGATGAGAAAGTACCTAAGATATAACAACTGTAACACCTAAGAACCAAAACGGAAATGAATTTTATAAGACTGCAACCTATATTGAACAGCTATACAGTTGTACAAATATATTTTTTACATAAGGTTAAAAATATCACTATTCAATGTAAAATATCTAAAAATAATGTTTAAAATGTGGAATTCCAGTTGCACTTACAAGGGATTAAAAATACCAGATAAAATAAAGCTCTTTTCAACAACCACTGTTTTTCATTCCAGGGAAGTTTTAGCAGAAAAATCCAAAATAAGACGTCTAAAACAATAGTGGTGAAGCAACCAGAAGGCATTTCCTTGAGGGGAAAAAAGCGTAATCATTAATACTGACAAGAAAACTACTATGGGCTCTCATACAAAATCCTATTGTTGTAGCCACGTGAATGCTGTTCTTAGGAGGCAGAGAAAGGAAATAGGGAAAAGACTCCAAACATTCCTTTTGTAGAAGAGTTAACGTTTACCAGTAACACTCACTGAAGAAAAGGTTTAAAGGTAAATATGAAGCTAACACTGTGCTAGTCAACTTTTCCTTGTACTCCTACCTCTTCTGCCCTGATGGTCTCTAAGGAAAACACTGTTAACCATAGCAAAACATACAGGGGTCCAATGGTAGAACTATGATAACAACGGGCTTTAGTAAACTAGTCTACTCATGCATACTGACTTCAAATTTATCTAACTAGTAGTAGGCCAGATCCCATTCAGTGTATGTACATACATGTACACACACACACACACACACATATATTCACATCACACTGCATTTCATCTCATTTAAGACACCATTTTTTGTCACTGTCAGAGATGTTAAAATTTTTTAACATTTGCCTTAGAATTGATAATATACATTTATTATAATATACAGGGAAAGCTAGAATCTACAATAAACAGTATCTAAAGTAAAACATCGTAAAACTAAGGGGAGGAAAGGGATTTCTCATACCCTAAAATGAAATTTATGAAAGGAAACGAACAGTCTGTACTAGAGTTCATGAGTTCATGCCCTTTGAAAGTTTCCCATTTACACCACCACCAAGTGACACTCTGAAATCAACTGTGTCCTTGGCACGGTGTTGTCACCAATTTTTGTTGGATGACATAAATGTCAAGACAAAGAAATATGAAATTTTACAACTATTTACAAGTTCAAATACAGGAGTTGTAGAATACAGATAAATTATGAAAGTTCACTTCAAACTCCTCTACCCCTTCATATGGCTGACTGTGCACACAGGTTTTAAAAAAAATATGTATCAAATGTTTCTCAAAAATTTTCTAGAGACTCTCCACTTTCTCACATTTCACTCTTTCCTAAACCCACTCCAGTCAGTTTCCAACCCAACCACGGAAAGGAAACTTCATGTTGAGCTCACCAATGACCTCCCTGCCATCTCTGTGATCCCTTTTCTGTCCTCACCTTGACTTTCAAGCAGAATTCAAAACTGTTGACAACTCTCCTCCTCTTCTAAATATTCTCCTGTAGATTCCACCATACTCTCTTGGTTTTCCTGTTTCTTCACTGGAGGATCTTTCAGAAAGTATTTCTTCCTCCTTAACTCAAACTATAAATGTCACTTAAGTGTTGAGATGCTCCAGGGCTCGAACCTAGGCCCCCTCTACTCTCTTCTCTCTCAGCGCTCTCTCTAGATCTAGGAGCTAGATCTTATCCAGTCCCATGGCTTCAAATTATCACTGCAAGCTAGTATCATCAACACTGGTTTCCCTAGAGTTCCAAAACAGTTTATCCAACTGCCTACATATGACGTCCATTTATATGTCTAATGCACATCTTAAAATTGACATTGCCAAAACAGAGCTTGATTCCCACCACTCCCCACCCCCAATCAATCCTGTGTCTCCCTCAGTCATGCCATGCCCATTTTAGCAAATAGCATTAACATACACACAACTGCAAACAAGAATCTAAGGGGTCTTTCTTGATGTCTTCCTTTATGTCCCACGGCCAATCCAGTCCTACTGATTCTACCTCCAAAATGTATCCCAAACTTATCTACCTCTATTTCTATGGCTACGACTCTAAAGAGCATCATCTCCTACCTAGGCTAGTGAAATAAACACAGCTGGTTTCCCTCTCCTTCCACTCTTGCCCCCTACAATCCATTCTCCATACAATAATCATTTTCCAAATAAAGTAACGTTAAAAATGCAAATAAGGGGCTCCCCTGGTGGCGCAGTGGTTGAGAGTCCGCCTGCCGATGCAGGGGACATGGGTTTGTGCCCTGGTCCGGGAGGATCCCACATGCCGCGGAGCGGCTGGGCCCGTAAGCCATGGCCGCTGAGCCTGTGCTCCACAACGGGAGAGGCCACAACAGTGAGAGGCCCATGTACTGCCAAAAAAAAAAAGCAAATAAGAATACTTCATCAGGAGGACTTCCCTGGTGGTGAAGTGGTTAAGAACCTGCCTGCCAATGCAGGGGACATGGGTTCGAGCCCTGCTCCAGGAAGACTCCACATGCCGCGCAGCAACTAAGCCCGTGCGCTACAACTACTGAGCCTGCGCTCCAGAGCCCGCGAGCCACAACTACTGAAGCCCGCGCGCCTAGAGCCCGTGCCCCGAAACAAGAGAAGCCACCGCAATGAGAAGCCCACACACCGCGAAGAAGAGTAGCCCCCACTCGCCGCAACTAGAGAAAGCCTGCATGCAGCAATGAAGACCCAATGCAGCCAAAAACAAACAAACAAATAAATTAATAAAAAAGAATACTTCATCGCCCTACTTAAAATCCCCACTGCAGAGTAAAATCCAAACACTCTGTCGTGGCTCATACTGCCCTATGTGATTCCAAACCCTGCCTGCCTACTCTATTATACTCATTTCCCACCATTCACCAGGTTCCAACCACCCTGGTCTTTGGTTCCACAAATGCACCAAGCTCATTACCAACACAAGGCCTTTGTATGGGCTGTTCCCTCTGCCTCCAGCTCTTAATGTAGATGGCACCATCTTGTTATTCCTATCTCAGCTCAAAGAGGTGATTTCCGATAGTAGTCATTATCATGTTGGTCCCATACCAAACATCCATAGTCTAAAAAAGACTCATTTGATCTTTTAAAATTTGGTTGAGTCAACTGCCCACTGATTACAGATTTCTAGATCACAGATCATAACCAAAAAGCCTCAACATTCAATTATGCAACTTCAGTTCCCATCTCCTTAAGAACCTACATTATTACTTTCACAATATAGACGCCAACTGCAGCAAGACGTCATCCCTCACCACCTAGCCTATACAGCACCAACATTGCAATCATCATCACAGAACTGTTATATTCTCTTAAAAGCTCTTACTCCTATCCAGAATTATCTTGTTTACTTGTTATTTACAATACTCCCACTAACATGTAAACTCTTGTGAACCTCACTGGTCTAGCTCTGCATTATATCCCCAATGCTTTGAACACTGCCTAGTACAAAGTAAATTTTTGATTAATTAAAGAAAGAATGAATAAATAATTAAAGACAGGAAGGAAAGAAGAGGTAATATACCAGAACAGAGTGGTAATTATCCTTATTAGTTAAGAATGAAGATCAAAAGGCCACTTTGCTTTACATATTTCTAATAGTTCCCCTCCGTCTCAGAATATAACACAAACTCCTTAGCACAGCTCTGGCCCCTGCTGAACACTCCTGCCTCATCTCCTGGCATCTCCTAAGGCTAATCCCTTTCGAAACTCCAACCACGTTATGGTTTCTATCTTTCCCTCTATCTCACAAGCACTCCCGCTCTCTGTCTACCAGGCTTGATCAACATTCTTCTCTCTACCTGGATTCCCTTCTTTCTCAAATTCCTGTCTAGCCAGTTTCCATTACTATCCTTTTCGGTTTCAGCCTAGACACTGAATCCTCCCCTGACTGAAGACTGTACGGACCTATAAGCTCCTATAGCACTTTAAACTATCAACTTCCACACTATTTATTATCCTATATCATTAGTGCCTATTATTTCCTCTGTCTCCCTCACAGACTGGAAAATTCTATCGCGCTAGGAACCGTTTTATTCACCACTGTATCCCTAGCACTTACCGTGGTATCTGGTACCTACTTAACAGTTGAAAAAAAAAAGTGTTAATAAATAAAATGAAAACCGAGTCATTGGGCACTGCTCCAGAGTCTTAACCAGGAAAGTATAAAAAGTAAGATTTTTTTGAAAAAAAGGAAAATAAATTATCCTAACAATTTAAATCCCTATCTACATGAAGCTGCTCAGTCAGCATTCACTAAAACTGCTGAAGATGCCTGTGTGGCACTATGCTCATAACCTAACGTTCTTCTACACACACCAATTCTTATTGGAAATATATGAAATATAACCTAGTTTTTCAACATTCTGAGATAAGCTCTAACAACTTTACACAAGCAGAATCACTTGAAGATAACTACATCATGAAGGACCCTCTGAAAATAACAGCACAGAAACTCTGTCCTCTCAGATAAACTCCATTCTAAACCTAGTTTGTCAGTCAAATCAAATAAGTCAACACAACATGAATCTCTCCATCTAGTAACTTGAAACTTAAAATGATACTAATCAACTCATGTATCTCAAAATGTTAAACATTATGCTAATTGTCAGCACAGGGAACTGGGAAGATCTTACCTCTGTTATCATTTTACAGCTTTTACAGGGTCCAATCTGACTGAATAACTGAAGAATAAGAACTTCTGTCACATCTCTGGAGAGGTTACCTACGTATCTGTACAGAAAGAAAAAAAAAATCAGCTATTTCCCTTCAGCTCTGGCTCTAAAGCATTATCATCTACTCATCATCTTTTATTTCATCTTAACTTCCTCTGTCTTCAGTAAAATTTTTCCAATTAAGCCTGATCCTTTGAGTGTAAGATTAACTCTCATTTAGGAAAGCAATAATTATTCTTAGGTCACTAAAATATCACTTCAAAAGACTCTATTAAAAACAAATCAGGGGCTTCCCTGGTGGCGCGGTGGTTGAGAGTCCGCCTGCCGATGCAGGGGACACGGGTTCGTGCCCCGGTCCGGGAAGATCCCACATGCCGCGGAGCGGCTGGGCCCGCGAGCCATGGCCGCTGAGCCTGCGCGTCTAGAGCCTGTGCTCCACAGTGGGAGAGGCCCGTGTACGGCCAAAAAAAAAAACCAAATCAATATGACCTTGCTTACCCCCCAAAGCATATTATTCTGTACCTATATATCATTTTCTCATCTTATTTGTTAGAATAAAAATAATAAAAATTTAAATCAGTCTCAAGATAACTATAATTTTTAGATATGAAACACAATTCAAAATAATGTATAACACACACACATAATACCACAAATACTGATTCATTAAAACACCTGATCATAGAAGGATATCAGACACAAGGTGAGTTTACCTTAGACCCCCAACCAAAGCAATTACATGAACAAAGAAGAGAATTAAAGTTATAGCAAAACACAAAGATTGAAGGATTTTGTTCTTTCTACCTTGCTAATAAGATTGTTATCGATGGTAGGTCTTCATAGTTTTGTTTTAGGAGAGCAGGGTAAAATAAAATTCACACTCAAAAATGCATCAGAATCAACAAAATACATCTTTATGTAGATAACAAAGCAAATATAAAGATTTCTCTAGAAATTCAGAGAAAATTTAAGACAAATCCAGGTATACTTTTCTCCTCGGCGGTACGCGGGCCTCTCACTGTTGTGGCGTCTCCCATTGCGGAGCACAGGCTCCAGACGCGCAGGCTCAGTGGCCATGGCTCACGTGCCCAGCCGCTCCGCGGCATGCGGGATCCCCCCAGACCGGGGCACAAACCCGTGTCCCCTGCATCAGCAGGAGGACTCTCAACCACTGCGCCACCAGGAAACCACCCAGGTATACTTTTGACTATAACGTATCTAAAGATTTTTTTAAAAATTACAAATTGAATGTATGTATTTTGTATAAGAAACTTAAAACGCACATAAGTTTAAAAGAGAAGAACACCACCACCCAGAGATGACCACCTTGTATCATGGATCTTTTTTTTTTTTTTTTATTGGAGTATAATTGCTTTAAAATGTTGTGTTAGTTTCTGCTGGACAGTGAAGTGAATCAGCTCTATGTATACATATACCCCCTCCCTCTCCCCCATCCCACCCATCTAGGTCTTCATAGAGCTCGGAGCTGAGCTCCCTGTGCTATACAGCAGGTTCCCACTAGCTATCCATTTTACACACGGTAATGTATTTATGTCAAACCGAATCTCCCAATTCATCCCACCCTCCGCTCCCCCCCTACCCTGTCCAAACATCCGTTCTCTATGTCTACCTTTCTATTCCTGCCCTGCAAATAGCTTCATCTGTACCGCTTTTCTAGATTCCACATATATGTGTTAATATACAGTATTTGTTTTTCTCTTTCTGACTTTCTTCACTCTGTATGACAGACTCTAGGTCTATCCACATCTCTACAAATGACCCAATTTCATTTCTTTTTATGGCTAATATTCCATTATATATATGTACCACATCTTCTTTACCATGGATCTATCTTAATTTAGCTTAATAAACTTTAAGTCTTTCTCGCACTCAGCATATAGTTCCTAAAACTCACATCAGTTATGATCCTCATAAACCAAACAACATTTATAAAATTTAACACATTTTCTTCTGGAAAGTAAAAGGACATAAGTTTTATTTTCCTAACTATAATACATAACATCTGGAAACAATGTACTGAGACCAATATAAGCCTTGTATCTACAGTTGCCATAGTTTAAGACAGGATACTCTGAAAGGGAAAAATAAGACTGAGAAAGGTAAGGTTAAGTGTTAAAAAGAAAAAAAAATTTGATTAAGAATGAATAGCAATTTTCTTTTCACCTAAGAATTTCACTGCAATGGGTGCTAATAACTTTAACACGCTCTAAAAATGAAACACAAGTCCGATGTTACTTAAATGGAAGACTAAACCAGTGACAAACTGGTTTAGGTCCACTATGCCACCTTTTTGTTATATTTAAAGTAGAGCAGACCCATCAGTAGGCTGTGCAGTGACATACTTTTCCCAGCAGTAGTGAAAGGTTATAGGCTTCTGAGCTAGCCAGACAATTGCCTATTTTCTTTTTTAACTCATAGGGGTTTGTGAACCTGTATCCATGGAATTTCTTTTTGTACAAGGTAGACCTATCTGTAAAGAAAATGAACAGTGACCTTGGTCTCTGAAGTGTTAACACTCAACTAACCTAAAATGCTAATAGTTAGCTCATTTCTAAGAGAATAGGAGCGGATAAAACTGATTCTCAAAAAAAAAAAAAAAACAAAAAAAAAACTGATTCTCACATATCAAAGCTAACTAGCAACAAAGTTAAAATTATCACTTGAATGTAACAAACTGTAAATGATTTAAGTAATTTTAATTTGTATGACTGTTTAATGATTTTTCCAGGAAAAAATTGCACGGGCATTAACTACCTTACATACCTAACAGTCACAAAGCTGTTACTGTTTCACAGGATTTTTATTCCAAGTCAACCAATTTCTAATCAACTGAAGATTCTGAAGAATTTCTAGAGGCACATTTAGATATATTAATTTATATTTCAAGCACTGATAACAAAGAGCAAAAGGTTAACGCAAGTTTAGAATGTCATGAAATACTTAGAGAAAAAGTTTAGTTTTAAGGTTTCCTATTTTTCAAATATCTCCACTAAAAGTTCAGTTGGTAAAGTAGCAAACTCCAAAAACTAATATAAAAATGGCCTTCCAGGGCCTTCCCTGGTGGCGCAGTGGTTGAGAGTCCGCCTGCCGATGCAGGGGACACGGGTTCGTGCCCCAGTCCGGGAAGATCCCACATGCTGCGGAGCGGCTGAGCCCGTAATCCATGGCCGCTGAGCCTGCGCGTCCGGAGCCTGTGCTCCGCAACGGGAGAGGCCACAACAGTGAGAGGCCCGTGTACCGCAAAATAAATAAATAAATAAATAATAAAATAAAAATGGTCTTCCATAACAACATGTAGAACATCTTAATTTGCCAGGATAAAAAGGAGATAATTCACCATATAATTTCACCTAAAATATACAGAAACCTGAGACTGCCTTTTCCTTTACTCAAGAGTTCTGTAATTCATTCACCTACATTTGCCTTCATCCATCATAACACTTAATACAGAAACATTTTACAGCTTTTAAAATACTATACAGCTTAAGTACCTTTACGTTATCATAAAATTATCTGTCCCAAAATAAATACTAACAAAAATATTCAACTCTTGACCTGGTAAAAACATCATCTCTTGGTAGCACAAAGAAATATTTACTTTTTCTTTCTAAATCATCTACACTTCACTTTCTTTCTACTTTGGTTATAAAATCGTCAATATATCCTAAAGTTCCAAGGGTTTAAATATAAAATTTCTACTTGAAGAACACATACAAAATAACAGAAAAAGACAAACGGCTCAAATTATTGTATTGAGATCAATTCAAAGAGTAAACACTTAGGAAATTCCAAAACGATTTTTAACTCAAGGGGGGAAAAAAAAGCAAACCTTAGGTCTATTTTGTCTTCTAAGAACAGGAACTGTAGGAACTAATGCATTAAAAATGGAAAATTATGTCTTTATCCCTAAAGTCAGGGTTAAAATCAAATTTGAGACTAGAACTTGGCAGTTTCACAGCAGGCAAAAGTTCACATTGCCAAACTACTTCCTATGTACAACCAGGCAGAATTTTAAGTTAAGAACATCATGCCTTTCAGAAGACTAATCACACTTTTCAATACTGAATGTGCTCTCACTCTGAAAAGATTAGCCCTACGAAGGCTGAAATTACCAGCACTTTTACACAAGACACTATGGCTAAGTAATATTTTTACTTTTGTTCTTGAAAATTCCTATATAAGAGGGGATTTTGTAACAGTATCCTTCAATGGGCCTCTAATGTGCTGATCAATTTGTCGATATTTCATTTTAGGAAGGAGGCAGGGTGGAGGAAAGGTGCAGGAGGCACAAGTGAACTGACCAACTATATAAGGAATATCAACACACATACACATACATTTTAAAGAAACAGAAAATATGATTAAATTGTATGAGAGGCTTAATTACAGCCACAATATAGCCAAATGTGTGGTACAGCTAATCAATTTTATAATGGGATTTAACAGTATTTACTGCTATTGCCCTTAGATGTTCAGATTATACTCTAAATGAATGGCTTATTTCCTCCTTTTGACTGAGTCTCTATCGGGAAGAAAACGGCCTTAAAGATGGCATTGCATTAACATGGTATAATTCCAGATCCACAATTCCTACTCATTTTGGCGCATTGAGTAGATGAAGAAAATAAAACTACAATAGAACACCATTACAATTTAATGTTGTATAACAGATTCAGATATACCATGGATCAAATCACTGTACTCAAAGCTACACACAACACAAATCTGAAATGTGGGTCCTACAAGGTAGGTGTCAGGCAGTTCACTTCCAACACCAGTGTTATACAGCATGATCTCATTTGTTGTTTTAGATCCCAAGATACCCAATACATTTACCCCCCAATACAAAAAATGTCAAATGGGAACAAAGAACATCAGAAAACAGACCTTCAAAGAAACTATATGACAAATTTTAGGCTCAACATCAAAGCAATTCTATATCACTTTAAATACCATCAAATAAATTAGTAATACTGTAGGTAATGAATATTTAAAGACCTACCTAGGCTATAAACACCATATTGTTTTCTGATGATAGAACCATATGTCTTAGCTTGTGTGTGTCTGCAGGAAAAAAACCTCACTAGTAACACACAGGCATATTAAGGAAACAGTTTAAGATAAGCTTTGTTACGAGTACATTCTTTTAAAACATACCAGCCACTTGAAAGCCTAATCCAAAGATCACGATGTAAAATAAAAGAAGGATCTCCATAAATAAACAAAAAACCCTACTAGGTATCAACCTCTAAAGTCACCTTCAAAGTTTTTATCATGTTACCTGTATCTAAAAGAACCCTTTGAGAAATATGTAAAATGAACACTTAAAAAAATATGCATTTTTATTAAAATCTGACAAAAATCCAAATGTGGAACATTTGCTTTTACCTCAAAATTTTACATTTCAAATTTCAAAAAATATAAAAATCAACAGACCGCACCACATATGACCATCATGTCTGCTTATATAATTTTAAATCAATCAGGACTTTTTAAAAAAACGGACTTTATATTAATTTAATGAAAGGAAGTATAATCATTGTAAAATATTTGAGTACCTCTTATGTTCCAGGCAGTGAACTAAGTGCTGCAGGGTTAAGACCTAGGAAGATGTAGCAGTCCTTGTCTAAAAAAAAAAAAAAAAAAAAATCCTTCCCATGGAGAAGAGTGGGAGAAGGAAAAAGGAAGACAGAATAGTAAACATATACTGACATACAGATACAACGAAGCTCAAGATGTTTCTTTACTTATATGTATACATGTCACATTTTTAGATAACTGTAAACATAGACAACTTAATTGTGTTTCTGAGAAAGAACAGGAGACTGGAGAAGGTAGAGGTAGGAAATAAGTGACAAAGAAGTTAGCTTATTAGTCTACGGTCTAAGATGTGATGGAGATGAGAAAGCAGACGCAAAGTGCTTGTATGAATTAAAGGTACTGCAATAGCATTTTGTTTAGCATGACAAAACAGGAATTCTTCATAAGGAACAGATAGATACAGTTAATGAGAAATATGCCTTGAGGATTAACCAATTATTCAGTAGCTATTAGGATGCGATGACATTTCAGATTTTTAAATACAATGTAACTTTTATCGTTGTTAAATACATGCTTGCTAGGCCTAAATCCAGCTTTCCCAGATGCTTCCATCAAAGAACACATTGCTAACTAAATACCAAGTCTTGGCTTCAAGAGATGTTAGAGGACAAATTTCAAGTTTGTCCCAATGCTCTCTTTTCTGGGAAAAGAGAGCAGAAATGGAAGACAGCACAAAACATAAATATTGATACAAAACTTCCTACTAAGCAGACTTCCCATTCAAGCATTTGATGTACTTAAGTTGACCTCAAATTCTCAAAAGGGATAGCAGATACTTTAGTGAGACATTAGAGAAGTAGGAATAAAAAAGTGTAAGCCCCCCCCAGCCAAAAAAACAAACTTGTATTAATGTTGAACATAGACATCTACCTTCTTTACGGAGCAAACTTTCTTTGGTAGGACTAGAGATGAGAAACTAGTCTAACTTCCTAAGTACCCATTCACCTTCATCTGTTCCCCAAAAAGTAATTTCCCCATCAGATAGCAGAGCCAAGTGAACTATGATCGTATCAATACCAGCAGAGGCAAGAGAAAACAAAGCAGCGACCTGACTGACTCCTTGCACTCGAGGCAGGTGTGCTGAGCTTCGAGAGACTTGGAAAACCCAAGATGCCCAACTTAAACATTTAATTAGAAATTACACTTAAAAAAATGCAGGAAAAAAGAAAGGACTGCCACACTATTTGGAAAGGAATGCAAATGCTGAGTCATCACTCTTCATTAGGAAGGAAAGGAAACTCGAATAAGCGATTCAAAGACGAAATTCATTCATTACACTGGGCTTCAGAGTAAAGAGCAACAGCAAGATAGAAGAAAAAGCGCTCAAAAGACACATCGAATAGCTGATAAAAACATCATTTTATCCAACTCTGAAGGTCTCGATCCACAGATTAGGAGGGAGTAACACCACTTTAACAACTGGTTGTCAGTTTAGCGCAGGTAGCGCTCAAAGTAAACTTCTTCATCCAAGAAGGGAAAGATGCTCCGGCGGCAAGAGGGATCCCTTTTGCACTTTAAAAGTAGCGGGCGCTGGGCAAAGTGTTTCTGACAGCGTGGGCGGGGGCACGCGGGGCAGAAAGACAGTAGGGGCTTGAGTAGTGTTAGAATGTCCGGATTCCTCGAAGAGCTCAACTTGGGATAAGAGCAGGGAGCGACTGGGGACTTGGAGGGCGTGAGTGCTAATTCCTCGCGGCCCGCAGGGGATGTGGCTGCGGTCCCACCCCCGGTCCCACCCCCACCAGGCCCAGCCCCCGTGGGGGACCGGCAGCTCCCGGCCCGGCCCAGGGCCCCCGGAGCAGAGGGGGAGCAGGAGCTCTACCGGGCCTGACAGGCTCTGGCGTGCAGAAACCCGGCTTAGGAGGAGGTTGCAAAGAGGGGCGCGAGAGGAAAAGGTCGAAATAAGCCCCGGACCCCAGGAAGTGACTATGTTTGGGGGAAGGGAGAGCTTCCTTTCTAAGGAAAAAGGGACAGATGAGGAATGCACTTCGCGTCCGCGCCACCGCGGCCAGGGAGCCGCCAAGAGTCCCGCCTTCGGCCCCGCTCTCCTGCTCCCTCCCACAGCGTCCCGCGGTGCCCGGGCCTCTCGGCGCCTGGCACCCCTCGTCTCGGGTACTCACAGAGTCCGGGGCTGCCCGTCGTCTTCCATCATGGTGGGTGCGACGGAGCGATCCCGGGACAAGGGGGAGGGCAGGGCCGGGGAGGGGAGGGGGTGGGGAGGAAGGGGAGGGGGGCTACGGGCACCGGCTGGGGACAGAGGAAAACGCACCGAACCCCGCTCTCGGGCTCTCTCCCCCCAGCCCGCTCCGGACACTACGCTCCAACCAGGAGGAGCAGGAGGAGGAGGAGGATGAACAAAATGGCCGCCGCCACCAGCCAGGCAGGAAACGGGGCACAGCGCAGGCGCGGCCCGCCAGGTCACCGCTCAGGCCAGCCGCGACAGCCTGCAAAAGGGATAACTGAGTGAGTAGGAAAACAGGCCGCTGAGGAAACCCTGTGCCGGGTCACGACGGATCACGTCGTGGCTGTGCGCCGGCTGGTTGGCGAAGCCCGGCCAGCTCAAGAAGAGATAGAGTAAAAAGAGAACCGCCAGGAAGCTGAAGTCTCTGGGAATTGTGGTCCTGGAAATGAGAGAGGGAAGCACTTCCCCAGAGGGCTTCTGGGAACTGCAGTCCAAAGAAGGCGGCCGGCGCCCGCGGCGCGCTGGGACGCGAAGAATAGAATTCTGGGGAGTGTAGTCGTACGTGAGACTGTGGCGACCCGGAAGCCGGCGTGCTGGGAGGGGAGGGGAAGAATAAAAGCGACGTTAAAAGGCGGGGAAACGAAGCGAGAAAGACTGCTGTCCCGGAGGTAGACTACGACTCCCAGAGTGCCTTGCGCTGGGGGCTGTCCTAGGGCTGCTCCAGGCATTTTAAGGCTCTTCTGGAGGCTCAGCCCGAGCTGCTGCTCCGCCTCCGTCCAGCCCGAGAGCGGTTTCTTCAACTGCGGCTGCGGCAGTGCTTTGGCTCCGCGTGGTGTCTGAGCCCTCAGGCCCTTGCGGCCCTCCTGTATTCATCAAAACGGCCGGCCCACGGTCATCAACCGCCGCCCCGCGCGAAGGGCGGAGGGCCTGGGGTGGATCTCAGGCCCTCGCTGAGCTGCAGGCTGCGCTCGCCGGGGCTCCTCCCGCTTTCCCAACGGCCGGCAGCGTCCTGTGGGCGCGTTTTCCCGCAAATAGGTATTCTAGCCTGGGTAGGCGGCTTGTAGATTGCTTTACAAGTTTCAAAGGTTTCCCCATCCATTAACTCATAGGATAAGGGGGTAAGAAGGGCAGCCCTCAATTCAAATGACTCTTCGAGTCAGTGTACAGGGGGTGATAATGCCCTCCTACCCCCTTATTTAGTTCTTAGAGAGGAAGTCTTTGGGCAGAGACGTGCACAGACTTAAGGTTATGTTTACAGACATCCATCATATGGACGGGGAACGAAGTCTTGTTCGAACGTGTGGGAAACCATGTTCAAACTGGCTACGTAACACTAGAATTTGCTTTGTCTCCCGCAGTAGTTCACGGTATGCTTCCATCCCCACCCCACCTCCCTCTCTAAGCATCTTTAGGAGAACGTGATTGAGTTCGTACCTGCTCTTGTAGCCTAGTGAAGGGTAATGGTGAAGAAAGATTTTTCAGCCTGTTGCCGGAGCTTGAGGGTCCCAGTTAAACAGTGCCTTGAGAGTTGGTTTTACAAACACTACCAGTGAATCCTAATCCTGTAAGGGGAGTGAACCGTGCAAGAAAAGCGTTGTAAAGTCAATATGAGGAGGAGGGGGGATTTCTCTCTGGGAGGCTTCGTAGAGACCGTGAGGAGAGAGTTGAGCCCCATGAATCAATAGGAGCAGCAAAAGGGCACAGAGGCCAGGACCCATGGCTAAAATGTATGGGTTTGGGGGAGGGAGGTGTGGGGGAAGACATGGAGTAGGGATATTGAGAGCTAAGTTAGAGAAAGTGAGCAGGGGCTTTATAGAACCGTGTTGTTAAGGATTGATACCAGGCTGAGGAGTTTGGGCTTTATCTTCCAGTCAATGAGGAGCTTATTCAAGGGTTTTATTTTTTTAACCGGACCTGGGTATAGAACTGTATTTATCATAATCCAATTCATCATTGATCCATGCCTGGCCCACTGTATTGATTTCCTGTTGTTGCTGTAACAAACTTAGTGGCTTAAAACAACAGGAATGCATTATCTTAGTGTTCTGGAGGTCAGAAGTCCGAAATCAGTTTCACTGGACTAAAACCAAGGTGCTGGCCAGGCTGGTTTCTTCTGAAGTCTAGGGGAGAATGGTTTTCTTGCCTTTTCCAGCTTCTAGAAGCTGCCTGCATTCCTTTGCTTTTGGATCCTTTATCTTCAAAAACAGCAGCATAGCGTCCTCTTTCCTCTGACCTCGGACTGCCTCTCTCCTTACCTCTCTTTCTGACTGATCATCCTTCCTCCCTCTTTGACTTACAAGGACCCATTGTGATTTCATTGGGCCCGGATAATCTCCCCACTTTAAGACCCTTAAACACATTAGCAAAATCCCTTTTACCATAACATAGTAAATTTACTGGTTCTGAGGATTAGGACATAGACATCGGTGGTGGGTCATTATTCAGCCTACTTTTAAAAATGTAATAATAACTGTGAGCCCTCCACCCTAAAAAAAAGTTATTAGGGCATCAATTTGCATCTAACTCTTCGGTTTGCCTCACACACACACTAACTCATCCTCCTGCCTCCCCTCACCTGGGTTAACCCTCATCCTGAATTTACCATTTCTTGTTTTCCTTTTTACAAAATTTTATTATATATACATATATACATATATATATTTCCAGAAAGTGTGTGTGTATACACATGTATTTTTGAATTGTTTTTAAAGATGTTGTAAAAAAGAATATGCCTATTAGAATGGCTAGAATGCCAAACACTGACACCACCAAATGCTGGTGAGGATGTAAAGCAACAGGTACTCTCATTCAATGCTGGTGGGTGTGCAAAGTGACACAACACTTTGGAAGACATTTTGGCAATTTCTTACAAAGCTAAACATAGCTCCTAGGTATCTCAATGAGTTGAAACCTTATGTCCGCACAAAAACCTGCACGTAAATGTTTACAGCAGGTTTATTTGTAATTGTCAAAACTTGGAAGCAACCAAGATGTCTTTCAATAAGTGAATGGGACAGCTGTAGTACATCCAGACAATGGAGTGTTATTCGGTGACAGAAAGAAATGAGCTCTCAAGCCACAGAAAGACATGGAGGAAAAGCCAGTCAGAAAAGGCTATATACTGTATGATTCCAACTGTGTGACGTGCTGGGAAAGGCAAAAAATACGGAGATAGTAAAAAGATGAATGGTTGTGGGAGATGGGGTGATAGGTGGCGCACAGGGCATTTTTAGTGGTGAAACTATTCTGTGTGGTACTGTAATGATGGATCCCATAGAATGTACAGCACGAAGAGTGAATCCTAATGTAAACTGTGGACTCCGGTTAATAATAATCTGTCGGGCTTCCCTGGTGGCGCAGTGGTTGAGAGTCCGCCTGCCGATGCAGGGGACGCGGGCTCGTGCCCCGGTCCGGGAAGATCCCACGTGCCGCGGAGCGGCTGGGCCCCGTGAGCCGTGGCCGCTGGGCCTGCGCGTCCGGAGCCTGTGCTCCGCAACGGGAGAGGCCACAACAGTGAGAGGCCCGCGTACCGCAAAGGGGAAAAGAAAAAAAAAAAAAAAATAATAATAATAATAATCTGTCAACATTGGTCCATCGTTTGCAAGAAACGTACCCATAAATGCAACATAGTAATAATAGGGGAAACTGTATGCTGGTAGAGAGAGGATGTATTGGAACTTTGCACTTTCTTCACAATTTTTCTGTAAACTTAAAACTGCTCTAAAAATAAAGTCCATTACAATGGGAAAAAAACAATGCCTTTGTATCCTCTTGGACTTTTTTCACCCACTGTAACATGGGAAGAATCAGCCATATTTTATGTATTTAGTTCATTTATTTTCACTATTGTATGATATTCCAGTGTGTGAATGTAGCACATTTTGTCTGATTTCTTGTTAATGGACATCTGGGTTGCTTCCAGGTTTTTACTGTTGTGAGCAGTGCTACTGTGACTATTCTTGTACTCCCCTGTTATAGATGTACAAGAGCTTTCTTTTGTTTATTCGAGTCTATACCTAAAAGTAAAATTGTTGAGTCACGGGGTATGTGAGTATTCAATTTTAGAAGATAATGTCAAAAATGTCAAACATTTTTTCCAAAGTGGATACATGGATTTGTACTCCCATTAGCATTATGTAGTAGGGCTAATGAGTGGATCCACAACCTCTTCAACACTTGTGTTTGTCAGACTTTTTACATTTTTATCTGTCGAAGTGGTAGCTCAGTGTGGTCTTAATTTGCATTTACCTAATCAATAAGATCGAGTGCCTCTTCATATTTAATAGCCATATGTGTTTCCTCTTCTGAAAAATGCCTATTGATATATTTTGCCTAGTTTTCTATTGGGTTAAATGTGCTTTTTTTGATTGATTTTAAGGAATTCTTTTTTTAAAAACCAATTTATTTATTTATTTATTGGCTGTGTTGGGTCATCATTGCTGCGCGCGGGCTTTCTCTGGTTGCGGTGAGCGGGGGCTACTCTTCGTTGCGGTGCGCGGGCTTCTCATTGCGGTGGCTTCTCTTGTTGCGGAGCACGGGCTCTAGGTGCACAGGCTTCAGTAGCTGTGGCGCACGGGCTCAGTAGTTGTGGCTCATGGGCTCTAGAGCGCAGGCCCAGTAGTTGTAGTGCATGGGCTTAGTTGCTCCGCGGCATGTGGGATCTTCCCGGACCAAGGCTCGAACCCGTGTCCCCTGCATTGGCAGGCGGATTCTTAACCACTGCGCCACCAGGGAAGTCCCTTGAGGAATTCGTGATGCTAATCCTTTCGCAGTTATGTATATTGCAAATATCTTCTCCCAGTTTACAACCTCTCTCTCTCTTTAAATGCCTTTAATGAACAAAAGTGCTTAATTAGTTAATTAATTATTTATTTGGCTGCACCATGTGGCTTGCAGGATCTTAGTTCCCAGACCAGGGGAGAACCCGCGCCCTTGGCAGTGAAAGTGCAGAGTCCTAACCACCAGACCATCAGGGAATTCCCAAAGGTGCTTAATTTTAAAGTGGTCACATTTATTTGGGGTGTGTATGTGTGTGTGTGTATGTGTATGTGTGTGTCTTGTTTAAGAAATATTTCCCTACCTCGAGGTCTAAATTATAGACTCTGAAAGATACTCATCCATAGAGTCTACTAAAAGTTTTTAAACTTAGTATTTGAAATTTAAGTCATTAATCTACCTGGAGTTAAATTTTATACAAATGTAGGGTAGGGATCCAATTTCATATTTTTCCATGTGGATAATCATTATTTTAAAATTCCATTCATTGAACAGCTCCACGCAACCTTTCCCAGTGGATCTGACATGCTCCTTATGTCATCGTGTAATTTGGGTCCTCTAAGAGGTAATAAGATGGAATTAGTTGTGCAAGAGATGCATTGAGGGGAAACTCTTGTGAAGGATGAGAGAATGGGAATAGGCAAGAGTCCCACAATACAGGTTGGACACTTATGAAAAGAGAAGGGAGGAAGGAGGATTGCCTAGGAATTGCCTTCAACTTGTTGCAGCTGTAAGAAAGGTTTGGCTAGGCCATTGGGG